TAATTAAATCAGTTGTTTATTTAAATAGGGGTCATTTAACTTTTCAGTGGTCAGGAAAATATCCACATTACCTTTCCAAAAGAACATTCCCATCCTTTTCTAAGTTACTTTGAATTGCTCTTGGCGAATGTAAGAATTTGACTGAATCTGTTTTGCAGATGTGGAATCCACCATTTTAAAAGTTAAATTTCAACTTGTCTATATGGAGCCTTTTTCACTAAAGTTTTATTTGAAAATAAATTTATGAAACAAAAATTAAAAATATTTATGTAGCTGTGCATATCATTCAGTATATTAAAACTGATATGATGAAAGAATTACATTATATGTTGGAGGAGTAGCTTAAAAAAATCCCATTTGTTTTTCTCCCCACTGAAGAACTAACTTTCATTAAACGTAGTTTGTTTCAGGATGGAAAAAAGCCTCAGAAACTCATTCAGGAAATGTTCTCCTTTTGTTTTCAGTGGGGTTCAAGAATACCTTGGTTCTATCTATCGGCAGGTATATATTAGTCTTATATTTCTGCTAAATGCTGCAACATTGAATGTAAGAGTAAAACAATGTTGTTTCATCCCATACTTATGTAAGCCTAGGGAGATTCTCTTGGTAAGAGGCTTTTTTGACCAAGATGAGTCTCCTGGAACTGATCTGATTGACGTAGCAGTAATTTTTTTTACTTGTTTCAACACAAACAACTTTAGATTGGAACAAAAGTAGGTTAGGAAGTGAAAATGAGACTCCTGTAATGCAGTTGTAGTTATTTTCTTTCTTATGTTTGATGAGGAGGAAGAACAATTAAATGGTTCAAAATAGTCTGTAAAAAAGTAGAGACATAATTCTAAATTGTGCTCTCTGAATTGACTGTGATATGGCATAGTGGCTGAGTGATTCAGTCAGAAACCATTGGGCTGATTGATTTATATAGTAAGCTGAAATTTTATCCATGGTATTTTGAGATATGTTTGCAGTACTCTGGGAGGAGTGAGACACTGGCACAGGTTGCCCAGGGAAGTTGTGGATGCCCCCTCCCTGGAAGTGTTCAAGGCCAGGCTGGACAGGGCTTTGGGCAACCTGGTCTGGTGGGAGGTGTCCCTGCCCATGGCTGGGTGTTTGGAACCAGATGATCTTTAAGGCCCCTTCCAACCCAAACCATTCTGTGATTTTGTGATTAAGTATGATGTCAAAAATTTGAGAAATACTTTTATTCCTTATAGAAAAATTTCCAATACATAAAAGATCTGATATGAAAGAAGAGGTTAAAGAGTTCAGTATTAGCTCAAGAGTTCAGGGCTCACTGGGAATGGTTGATCAATTTGTAAATAATATATAGATGTTTTCTTATAAAATACTTAATTTTAGTAGAAAAGTTTTATAGTTACTTAGATCCAATAGTAGCAAGGCAACAGTAACACATTCACTGTGGGGACATTAAGATAACATTGAGGGTACATGAAACCTACTTATAGGCTATGTGGACATTTCTAACAGGGCATGTAGATCATATGAGAGGCAGTGTGGCCAACCACCTGCGGCGACTCGGGAAACTTGGATTTTTCATCTGACCTGCTGATATTACAGCTGATTTAGGGCTCAAGTTTTTTTTATCTGTGTTATAAGGGAACTATGGGAGTGTTACTTCTTTCTTTACAGGTGAAAGGTAAAATGAATAAGAAGGTTTGAATATAGTATATAGTGTTGTGAAGTGATAGAGGTTTTGACAGGACATTGAGTCCTAAAAAGAGGAGAATGAAGGCTTTAAAAAAGTCTTTCTATGCCAGCAGAAATGAAGAATTAGGGTGGTGATGGATTCTCAAAGATTGTTTTTGGAATTGCTGCTGAGATGCTTGTGAATCACCTTAGATAAAGAGACAAATAGGGGGAGGCAGGCTTTAAAGTTGCCTGCACATAGCCATGTTACCAGGTACACCATCTGAGAAGTGGGTACCCCAAGGCAGTCCTGGGAAACTTGTACTGTAAAAGAGGAAGTAACTTTCTGACAGGAGATGGCCATCACAAGAGGAGGAAGAGAAGTTGGACATAAAGAATATTCAGCTGAGATTCTGGAAGGATTGGATATTATGGAGGAAAGGGACTGGAAAAAGACTCAAGTTTAGAGTAAATATCAGAAAGGGGGCAAGTGTCAATGTGCCTGTTGACAGGTAGGAGACTGAAATGGTTACTGAAAACATGCGGAGAGGAAGAGGGGAATCTCAGAATCACGTAATGATTGAGGATGGAAGTGACCTCTGAAGATCCTCTAATCCAACATCCTGTTCAAAGAAGGATCTCCTGGGCACTGAACGCATAGCCATGTCCAGACAGGTTTCGAAGAACTCCAAGGAAGTCAACACTATAACCTTGCTAGGCAACCTGTTCCACATAGCAGCATGAATTTAAGTAATTCTAGAAAATGCATCATAATCTAATGTTTCATTTAAAATGGAAAAAAAACCCAACAAAAACCAACCAAAAGTTCAAACCAAACCAAAACAACCATCAGAACACTTCGAGATTTGAAGACTTTTAAAAATGATACTAATCTTGACTTTATTATGAACAGCTAGAGGTTCATTCTGCTTCAGTTACTGATTGCTGTTGTGGTTTAAGCCAACTGAGTGCCACGATGCCATTCACTCATTTCTGCCCCTTGACGTGCAATGGCAAGAAGATAAATATTACAGAGTTTGGGGGCCAAGACAAAGGACTGGAAGGATTTGTTCGCCAGTTATGGTCACAGGCAAAAGACAGACTCATCCTGGGGAGAAGAACAAACAATTTAATTTGTTACCAGTAGCATTAGAATAGAAGAGTGGGAGATACAATCATGTCTTAAAGTCAACACCTTCCCCCACCCCTCTCTTCTTCCCAAGGTCAACTCTGTTCCTGGTTCCTTTTTCTCCTCCCAGCATACAGGGGGATGGGAACAGGGGTTGCGGTCGGTTCATTCCATCTGGTTTCTGCTGCTGCTTCCTCTTTCAGGGATAGGAAGGGCTCCTTGCAGTCTTGCTCTGATATCACGTGGTATCCCCACCATAGGAGAAAGTCCTCCATGAACTGCTCTGTGGGTCTGCCCATGACTGCAGTTTTCCTCACAAACTGCGCCAGTGCAGGCCTCCTTTCTGCGCAGTGCAGTCCTTCCCACAGGCTGCTCCAGCACACACTTCTCAGGGAGTCATGGCCTCTTTGGGGGCAGCCAGTCTCTGCTCTGCCATTGACTCTCCATAGGTTGCAGGTGGGTTGACCTGCCCTCTTGCCATGGGTTGCAAGGGAAACCTTAGCCTTGGCAGTGCTCCTCCTCTTCTTCTTTCTTTCTTTGCCAACCTTGGTGCCTGCACAGTTGTTCTCACATCCCACTCCTTTCTCCACTGCAGATTTCTTCTGCTGGTTCTTGGAGAGTTCCTGGCTCTTGGGCTGAAGCTGCAGCTGGGCTTGAGCTTATGTTAGGGCTGGGCAGGGCAGGCTATGTGTTGCGCCCCTCTTAAATACATCAGTTTGCAGAGGCGCTGATTGATGGAACCGAAATTTGAGCTAGGGCAGCTTCCAGCAGCTTCTTACAGGGACTCTATCTCCATAGCCCCCCAGACTGCCTAAACCAAAACCTGTTGCAGAAACCCAGTACAGTTGCTCATTACTATCATTACACGTGCAATTAAATGTAAGTTCCATGAGCTGTTTCCAGGTCATTTTCTTGTCTGTTTTATCCTGGAATTGTATGTACGTCAGCTCTGTAGCCTGTCTGGTCTTATAGCTCTGAGGAAAGTTCCTGATATTATGCCACAGTGTCTTGTCTTGTTCTGAAGAAATGGCAGCCTTTGTTGAAATGGTATTTGCTTTGCTAGAGACCAGTGAATTACATGCTCTTGGATCATAAGCAGTGTTTGTATAGTCTAAACAAATGAGGTTGTCTTGAGAACTTAGTGATTTTTTTTTTTTCTTCTTTCTAAATTAATGATCTTCCATCCTTTGCCAAATCCTGAAACTCTTCTCTGCATTAGATGCCAGAAGAGTTTTGAATTTTTATCTGGAAAGAACTCGGCATATTAAATGGACAGAAAACATTTGTATCTGAGACAGTTTAAAGAGTCCACCTGTATCTTAGTGTTTTAGTTTTCTTTCATTTGGATGTTTTTGTGTATCTAAGAAACATTGAAGATCCAGGCAGATATTCTTTTTCCATTAGAAAGAAGAGAGATGTATTTATTTTGCTAATAATGTGGGAAAACACAACTTGAAAAAATAATATTGCATAGATAAGTCTTTGTAATACATTTGAGGAACACTTTTTTAAAACAGAACTCTTAAGACATTCAGGATTAGTAGAAGTATAATATTAACTATTTGTAATTGCAATTAATTATTTAAAATGCCTTTTTAAAATGAAAAGAAGCCTGAAGAATAATAATACTACCAGTTAAAAGCAAGTTTCACAGTTGTTGGCATGTCAGAACAATTAAGGCATAACAATTATGTTTAATTAATTAATTAATATAAGCATTTATGCCTGTTTCCAGAAGTCTTAATTCTTGTAAAGGACTGCATACTTTAATCTTACTGATATTCAGTGACAGGAGAACCGATGTACTACCTACACATTAACCTTTGGTCATTTGTCCAGTTGTAAATAGTTTTATGTATTTATATGAGAGTTTGGGAAGAAATATTTTTTTTTCACCCTTCACATGCATGTTAGTGAATATGAAGTTTCTTACTTGGAAAACTGTCATGTTAGTTTCATGACTGCCATACCAAATGTTAAATGCTATTTTGCCATTAGAACTTTCTTTGAACAATATTATGTGGCATTTATGCTGACAAGTATGTTTGCTTATACCATAGGAATGATTTTATATGTATTAACTTTTGTGACCTAGTCTAGGTGATCCTGCTCTGGCAGTGGGGTTGGACTGGATGATCTTTCGAGGTCCCTTCCAACTCCTAATATTCTGTGATTCTGTGAACTTTATTTAATAAAACAACTCCTTATTTAAACCTTTTTCCAGAACTGTGAGGACGTGGGATGTTAACAATGAGAAAAAGCATAAAAGCGTATTTAAACCACGATCAGTTCAAGGTAAACGGGTGATTCCTACAATGTGCACATACAGCAGAGATGGCAAACTAATTGCAGCTGGCTGTCAAGATGGCTCCATCCAGATCTGGGATAGGAATATGAGTGTAAGTCAAGTATTTGATAACAGTTTATACTTCCCATATATCAAGTGCTGAATGTTGAAGCTGGTAAAATCAATTTTGATACCTTTATACTTATATTTTATTCCCACCCCCTCTGCAAACTAAGTAACTCACAAGCAAAATTTAATAGTTCCTCTGCCTCTCTATGATTGATCATTTAGTCTGCTGCTATTCAGTTCAAAACACTAAGGAGACTCTTGGCAGTCTGTATTTTAAAAGAAAAAAGTTGGCCACATATTTTAAATATTACTCATTTAAGAAATAATGCTTGTGGAAAAAGCTGTAATTTCTTGTTGGTTCTTACATAATGAAAAAATGTGTACTTCCATATTTTATATGAGATTCTGAATATATTAAGCAGTAACTTGTAAAACTTTATACTGAAGTCAGTTATTCATCCAGATTATAGGCAGAGGAAAATAGTATCGAAGTGGGTAAGGATAAGGGCAGTGCTGCACATTGAATGCTACATGTTACATTGTCCACACTGTGAAAATTAATACTGATGCAAATTTTAACAATTTATGTAAATACAGTGTGGTCAGAAAGAGTCAGAATGGGAATTTATTTCAGATTCTTTAAAATTGTGTAATTTCTTCTGTTCATATTGAACTTAAAATGGAATTTCCAGGAGTTATGGCTCTAACTGCCAAAGGATACATGCAATTCTTGTTACTGCATTGTAATTCAAAGCTTAGAGCAATCAGTCCTTGCTGTTGCTTTGTGTAGTATAGTTTAAAAACCAGTCCAGTTCTAAAGCGTTTAACTTTGCAATATTGTGTACAAATTCAACCAGCAAAGCTTTGCTGCTTTTAAAATCAGTCATCCTAATAATCATCCATATTTCTGTTATGCCCATCTTACCCAAAGTACTGATGCCCAGTCCTTTTCACTTCAGTGGGATATATACTTATGGCATGCATAGTAGGAGAAAAAGAGATTAGCATCAGTTTTTTTGGAAGCCAAAGTGAGATTACAGAGGAACTGGAGGTGTGACAGGGTAGAGGGGAGGGTAGCAGGATCCTTTGAATTAAACTGACATCATAAATCTTTGAAAGCTTTACAATTCCAATAGGATGGCTTTGGGGAAATACTGTTGAAATGATACAATTTATGTTAGTCTTCATCTTTCAAAACATTTTATTTTAAAAAGGAAAACAGGTGATTTAGAGAACTTTTCACAAAGATGGAGTAAATTTCATTGCTGGAGGCAAGAGGAAATGTATAGATGTAAAAGGAAAAGAAAGCCTGTTGATCATATTCGAAGTACAGCCTGTATTTTTGGATTGTCATCTATTTTTATTTCTGTTTTTATTTCCACTATAAACCCAGTAAAACTTCTTAATGGCATGAAGCTTGAGAATTCATCCCAAGTATAAACTTGTTCTAACAGAATAATAAATTTTTCAGAGACTGGCTTTCATCACCTGTGTATGTTGTTTATTTTAACATATACAGTATTGAAATATTAAGCTTTCTGGTGTAGTTTTAACAATAGTGCTCTTGGTAGTCTGCTTTTTCATGTGCTTTTCCTTTTGAACTTTAGTGTGTCTACAAGATGACATATTGCAATGCTGATTGAGTGCAGTTTAAGGTGATTATGAATAATTTAAAGATATATCCTGTGCATCTTGTGCAACTTCCAACTGGTGACCCCTGTATAACAATGCAAGACTAAAGTGATTTCCTAGTGGAAGTGAAGTCAGTAGTGCCCTTGAATTGATATTTCTGAAGTCTAAAGATTTTTTTCTTTGCTTTTATTGATATCATTAAGAAATGTGCAAGGTTTTTGTGTAAAGGAGCAGTGTAAATTGGGGCTTTTTGTGGTGTTTTTACCTAAAACTGTTGGTACCCTCTAGAAATCTCTGTGTATAGTTAAAATCGGGGATTTAAAAAGTCATCGGGATGAAATAATTTTAAGAAGAGACTTCACTTTAAATTTGGCAGAAGTAAGAAAAAATATTCAAGTAGGATTTAGAAAAAGGAGGATGAGATTGACTCCTGCACTGGAATGATGCAAGCACTTACTGACCTGACAGGATGCAGAGATGCTTACAAAGGTGAACAAGAAAATGTTTAAGTCGTGACAAAGTGGTGCAGTTTTGAAGTTACGAACTGTAGGTGACACAGGAAAATAGGTAAAGCTGTGGAGCATCAAGACGTGAAGGTTAAGCTGTTTGAAGAAATATGTAGTAGAAATATTAACTTATTTTTTTAAGAAGAAATTTTAAAATTCCCATCCAGCAAATATAATTTGACTTTGTTGAAACAAGTGTGGAGCTGTATACACAGATAGTGCTGCATTACAGTACAGCTCTGTTTCAAGTCAAAATTAAGACAGCGTTTGTGTTTAACTCAAGAAGACTATTGAGTCTGTAAGAAAAATCACTAGTGTTTGTAAGTAGAAAGTAGTTGCTGTAATTTCTGATACTTGTTGACCAGTTAGGAATGATTCTGGCCTCATTATTTTTTAATATGGATTTGGCATATATGCAGCAGGTAGAAGGACAGATTCAGGAAGGTGTTTAAAATTAACTCTAACTTAGTTGTCCATACTGTCAGGCCAGAGCTGATCTAATAAGAGCCTGTTTTGACTTCCTGAATTCATTTTTTCATTTAAGCAAAAATATAAAGGACATTTCAACCCTGCTGTTGAACACCCATACTGCTGTTCCTGCATATGAAGGTAACAGCACAAACTAAATCCAGGAAGATGTTCCTACCAGATAGTATGGTTCACATTACACGCTATCCATAGTGCCTGTTACCCTGGTGTCTGTGAAAAGTTTTTAGACACATTTATTTTTGAGAAGAGTAAAAGCTCCTGTCAGACACAGAGCCCACTTCAGAGAGAGGAAAGTTTTCTTTGCTTCAGTGAAAATGCAAAGCCCTGCTTTCTTGCAGGTCATGAAAACAGCAGTATGAGAGGCAGAAGTGGATACCCTGATGGAAAGGAGGATCTGATAGTGCCTGTTCCTAGAGCACTCAGTAAAGGTGGGCACACTGCTGCAGTGTCAATAGGAAGCCATTCTTCCTCTGGGGTTTTGCAAAGACCACACCACTTCACAAGAGGACAGAAGGTCCCTGACAAAGCACCCAGAAATCTTCCTTGCTGCTGTAGCTGTAGTTTCTGACTACTGGTTATAGGTTTATTGTCCTCTGCTCCACACATGACTTGGTAGCTGACTACAGGAATACTGCTGCTGTGTCCATCAAAGGGCAAACAAATTAAAAATCAACCTGTTGTGTTGTAGCATCCCCATCACCACCATGGTGTTACTTGTGTTTGCTGGTTGGTAGTGTAGAACCGGATCCAGAATGGTGTGATTAAATAATTCTTTGAATGCCTTTTTTAAAAAAATATTATTATTATTTAGAAAGAAACAAGATTTTTTTCTGTCCCATACTTTATCATCCCGGCTGAAGTCAAAGTAGCTGTTTGTTGTAAGTTAGGGTCATAAGTTAGTTGTTTTTTCCAAGCCACTTAGAACCACCTCGGTATCTGCTCTTTTTTAAATTATGTTGTTGTGCCTAGGGAGTGGTTTTGGTGTGTAATCAGTTCCCTTCTTCAGTTCTCACTAGTAATTCACTCCGTGAGTGTTTCATTCAGCTTTCTGCTTCCACTGTTGTTTTGGTGCAATTCCAAATCTTCCAGCTGTAGGTAGTGAGAGTAAAAACACTTTTGGAACTTCTGGAGGAAGACTTTTTTTGTCTTCATGACACGGACATTGGTAACTTGCTAATGCTGAAGTTAACCAAATGCATTCCGGCTTTGCTTTGCCATTCTCCAAACTTCCTCAGCATGATCATGATCCATTATAATCACCTGCCTCGGAGGATTTTTTTGTTTTATCATACATCTGTGATATTTTCTCACATGTGTTATTTTGTCAGTGCGTGGTTTTTCTTTAAGGTTCACATACAGGTGCATTTACAGTGCACATTAGCAGAACTGCCTGTCAGCTTGTTTGAATTATTATGAACACTGTCAGCTTGGCTTAAAATAACAGCTTCAAAGGACATAAAAAATAACTTCCTTCAAACTTCCAATGAATAGTGGAAACAATAGTGTGAAATAGTCAATCATAACATAACACGTTAGAGCTCTCTCAGTTTAAATGTTCTGACATGTGGAGAAGTGTCTGGCAAATATGGAGAGCTGGAAAGCATTAGTGGTCAAAATAAAAAAGGTCATTGAAAATTTTTTAGTCACAGGGCAGTTCAGATAGGTTCAAATTCCTCATCTTGCCTGTGCTTGCCCATGCTTGCCCATTCAGAGCTTTTTTGCAAGACCAGCAGTAATATGTATGGCTGAAAAAGTTTATTTGTGGAGCCAGTCTTTAGTTTCAAGAATGAGGTGTATCTTGCAGTCAGTAAACCTCTGTGTGTCCAGCTTTCCCATCTAGGAGTGGGAGTATCTCATTCATAGAGATATGGAAAGACTCAAGTAACTTTTGTAAAAACTCTTTAGTGCACTTGGTGAGTAGGTTAAAAATTTATTGAGTTAAAATTGATAGAAATCTTTTTTAATGGACACAAAAGCTCCCCTGATTTTCCACACTATATCAGAAAAGGATCAAGATGTTTTTCATTGATTACAAATAGGACTTATTAGGGTGAGAAAGCTACAGCACTCAGTTAGCCTTTCTTGAACTTTCAGACCACCTGATGAGGCTACCTGTTATGTGGATTTTTCTCTCCAGGTTTCCCTGGGTGCATTCAATCCGGAACTGCATAAACAACTTACCTGCATATGGCAGTCTGAATCATGTTTCTCAGTTCCACACATCACATATTTTATGCTATTTCATTGCAGTTGTGGTACAAAAATATTGATAAGGAAGTCGAGGAGGCAGAGTTTGTAACGGGTGGTGATGTCTTTTAAATGCCTCTAAGAAAACAGTTTGTACACCCAAAATCATGTGTGTGGTGGTTTTTCTCTAGCTATATTAGATCGGATCTGTTTAGAAACCTTGAGTAAG